CAGTTCAGCATAAGCACACACACTCATATCTTCAAAGTAAGATCTATCTAGACATGAAATAGGCTGACTGAATAGACAGTGAGTTCTCTGTCTCTGGTGGTATGTAAAAAGAAAAAAGGTTAGCCCAAGAAGTGTTCCAAGGACATTCCATGCAGAGGGGGCCATGTGTGTGGGGGCTTAGAGGTGAGGAGCACTATTGTGTTGAGGATCTGTAAATAATTCTGCACAGCCAGACAGTGGGGGCCTTAGGGATGGAGAGGGGAGAGGAGGAAGCAAGAGAGGCAGGGCCTCAGCAGCCAGACATCCAGAGAGGGATGGGGTGCCATCCGAGAGGGACATGACCAAACCTGCGTTTAAGATAAGAATTTTGCCTGGGTGCCACGGCTCACGCCTATAATCCCAGCACTTTGGGAGGCCAAGGCAGGTGAATCACTTGAGTCCAGGAGGAGTTCAAGACCATCTGGCCAACATGGTGAAACTCCGTCTCTACTGAAAATACAAAAGATTAGCCGGTGTGGTGGTGCATGACTTGTGGGTCCCAAGCTACTCGAGGAGGCTGAGGTTGGCAGGACACTTGAGCCGGAGGTTGGAGGTTTCAGTGAGCAGAGATCACCAACCGATTGCAGCTCAGCCAGGACAACAGAGTGAGATCTCATCTCAAAAAAAAAAAAAAAAAAGTTAAGGATTTTGGCAGGTGCACTGTGGACTGTGGGAGAAGCTGTGAGGATCCAGCATGTGGGTGAGCAGAGCCATGCAGAGGAGATGGGGGACTAGGGACAGCGGTCATTGAAGTTACAGCTCCGCTGTCCAAAACAGTAGCCACCAACCACATGTGGTTATGGAGCCCTTGACAGCATGTTGAGCAGGATTGAGATGTGCTGTTGATGTAAAACAACACTAGATTTAAAGACTTGGTATGAAAAATATATGTGTAATATATACACATACACATATATGTATAATAGCTCATTAAAAAATTTTTGTATTGGCCGGGCGCGGTGGCTCAAGCCTGTAATCCCAGCACTTTGGGAGGCCGAGACGGGCGGAAGGTTAGGAGATCGAGACCATCCTGGCTAACCACGGTGAAACCCGCGTCTCTACTAAAAAATACCAAAAAACTAGCCGGGCGAAGGTGACGGGCGCCTGTAGTCCCAGCTACTCAGGAGGCTGAGGCAGGAGAATGGCGTAAACCAGGAGGTGGAGCTTGCAGTGAGCTGAGATCCAGCCACTGCACTCCAGCCTGGGCGACAGAGTGAGACCCATCTCAAAAATATATATATATTAAAAAAAATGTTGTATGATCTGT